TGCCATTACTAGATTACACATCAAAATGATTTCACCTATGTTAGCTTATGTTGTTGCAGTCTATTTTGACTCATTGTACTCGTTTTAGAGCTTTACAAATTTCAATGCCGATGTCAACACACTTTTCACACATAAACAAGTTATTTAATGCACAAAATGCGGTAAAACCTACAAACAAATTAAAATTAATTAGTACAATCATTACTTACATATATTGGAAAAAAATAAACCTAAAATAACTCATCTTTGCAGAATATAAGTCTAATAACGGTCATAAAACAACTAGAAAAAGTTTCTCCATGTGCTCGCCATGTTGGTTCTGTGCGCAAAGACTTGTGGGGCACAGGAAGCCCAAAATAATACATATTAATTGTACAAATACATAATTGTGATCGAGCAATAAAATAAAACTAAACTACTAAAAACGAACATACGGAACCGATTCCGTTACAACATTTAAATTTTAATTGTTCACTTTCTTGTTTTATATGCTATTATATTGTTTGTCTCCATTGTACAGCAATATGCATAAATTCTGACCACTTTGACTCATATTTCAACTATATATAAAATACATCAGATGTTATGGGATATGGTCGCTGATATTTTTTTGGAGTTGCCTAGGACCAGTACTATCTGAAAAAAATATCAGAGATGATATCCCATAACTTCTGATATATTATATATACATATTTATAAATATGGGTCAAAGTGGTCAGAATTTCTGCATATTGCTGTATATCAAAGAATTCAGTAAAGTAATTATTAATTATAGAGAGGGTCTCCCGCCAGTGTTATACCTTCAGATGGATAATTGTGGCAGAGAAAACAAAAATACTGCAGTCTTGTCATTCCTAGGCCTACTTGTTCAAATGGAGGTGTTTAGGAAGGTAATATTTATTGCAAATTATTTCTAGCTTCTCCAAGAAAAAATTCCTTTCCGAATTTTCACCTGACTTTCACATGTTGTACCTTTGCAATGATCCTTTGCTTTGTGACACTATATTGTTGAGGCCGCACTCAATGTAGGAGTCTACTTTCTTTGTAGGTCAGAGTGGGATTTCTTATGGTCGGACACACGCATGAGGTTCAAGACTAGTTAAGAAATTTCTGTAAAATATAAAACGTACAGTTTCTAATGGAAATCGATCAGGCATATTTTCAACGTTGTCATTGCTAACAATTCAGTGACCATAATATCTCTATATTCAGGATATTGACCAAATGTTCTCGTGTGTGTCAAGACGGTTAAACAAAAACAACGCTACTACACTTGAGGAGCTCAGTGAACAGATCATACATTCGTATAATTCACAACCGCATGTTTCCTTTGTTGAGTATATGCATGATGCTAAAAAATGGATATTAGATTACACTCCGGGGTTTATTGGACACTCAGAACCTCACCAGTACAAGTTTGAGAAATACCAAGGGAGAGTTCATATGAGGTACAGGAAATGGAGTACCAGTAAAAGATGGTTACCTGATTTAGAGGCCAAAGAGGATCCTCTGTATGTGTTTCCTGATAACATATATCCAACTGGTGCTCCACTTCCTATTCCAGTAGACTTAACATCGCCACTGGAAACCCTGTCAAAAGACCTCCCTAAATATGGAGCCTTATTGAGTCAAGAGGAGAAAACATGGTGGGAGAATTACCTGACATCAATGAGGGAACGACAAACGGCAAAAAACCCTGAAGGAGAGTTTCTCTTTAATGTTTTAACAAAAGTTAAAGACAAGGGTATTCAAGGACCACAACAGAGGCAGGTGCTAACGGAAAAAGATGTAAATGTCCACGAGGACCTAGAGTAACGATATACCAAAGAAGGGAGAGAACCAAAGGTAAATTTTGCTTGGTTTTAGTATAGCCTTATATATGTGATTGTTTACAGTGATTTTCCTCTTAGAATGTTATTATTCTTAATTTTTAATAGATTCTCCTCAAAGGAAAGAAAAATGCAGCGAGAGGCCACAAAAGAAAAATAAAGCCGACCTCTAATAATAATAATACGAAAAAGAAGCGAAAGTAATATATAAAAAACATATATCGGCTAAAAGAATAACTAAACAAGGTGAAAATAATCTTTTAGTTAATAGTAGAGTACACTGACGTCACATAAGAATGGATCAATTGCTAAATAACACTATTTAGTTATTACAACGAGTTTGACATTGTGTTTATGTTTATTATGACTATTATTATTAGTTTGTCAGTAATAACTAAATATCAGCTTGTGAAGTGCACTCTAAAGTTTATATAGCTAGCGAGAATGGCGGTAGTGATTGCTTTCCGGAAATGGTTTATAACTATTTATGATGACTAGGTTTTCTCAAGGAATGTTTTTTTGTCCTAATATTGAATTCGTGCTTTTTAAAAGAAAACTTTTATATATATTTTCATTTTCATTTTAATCATATTTGACTATGATTCAATGTGCCGAGTAATGACATTGCGACGAATAGTAATATCTTCACTGCATGTAGGGCTAAACGAACAGTCCACTAATCATTAGGGCTTCATTTCTTACTTGCTGTTCGATCACTAACTTCAATCAACTGAACCTCCTTGATCGAACACACGAGCAGAAGCAGCCCTTGTGGTTCGGGCTTAGCCTACAGTCCCCTAATGGTTTGGGCTTCATTTTGACATGTTCGATCAACTAAATGATTGAATCTCATATTGATCGCACACAAGCAGAAGCAGCCCTTGTTGTTAGGGCTTAGGGAACAGTCCCCTAATGGTTAGTTGGGCTTCATTTTGACATGTTCGATCAACTAAATCATTGAATCTCGTATTTATCGCACACGAGCGGAAGCAGCCCTTGTTGTTAGGGCTTAGCGAATAGTCACTTGGTATTTTTTACCTAGCACTAAAGAGTAGAAAGCGTTCCACGGATATTATTTTATGCACTCTTAGTACTACGAGATTTTGGTAGTGGGTTCGTCGGACTGAAAAAATTAAAAACGACCTCCAAAAGTCATCCTGGACTTGTACAACGAGTATAGAAAGCTGCCGCTTCATTTTCAATTTTGTTCATAGCAAAACAAATGGAAATTTTCTTTAAAAGCATTTTCCTGCAGTTTAATCGTACATTGAAAGTATTCTTAAAGTGCGGGTACGATGAAAACCGAACATCGAATTTGAGCTTTTTTTGTACACATACCAGTTTATGGAGATTTAAATAAGAATATAAGAGCATTTTTGTGCTGATACAGCATTGAAAGGTGGGAGAAATCGAGGTTTAAAAGTCGGATTTTCCTGTCCGCCATTAATCGG